TAATATATATTACCCATTTCTACCATATAACAAACCTATCTAATCAGCAAAACCCAGAATCAAAGTTTCATTTTTTTCCAACTCAAGCACAAAGTCAAAAAGTGGCTTCCAAGTAGAAACAAAATTAATTACCGTATATTCTTTTCTTTAATCAAAGCAGTCAATTTCACCATCTCTGCTAACTCCATCAACTTTTTCATCTACTGTGGGATTCAAGGTATCCTTCCATTTCTATGCATAAAATATTCTTGCTGCTGTCAACATATCAAAGTTCCATTATTATTTTTCAAATTCTTTATTCATTAAGCCTAAAAAAAGTCTCTGGTTTTACCTTTATATTTACTTTAAGAATCTTCTGTATTAAGATGTAAATTCTAATCCAATATTTATTTGCTTTGTCACATGTCCACCATTAATGATACAATTTTCCTTCTTTACATTTACATTCCCAACATTCATTTGAAGTATCTTTATACATTCTTGAGTGTCTTTTTAGTATCTACACAGGAATTAGCAGTAATAATCTTGCTAATATTCATGACCGATGTGATTGTTTGCTTCTGACTCTTCTCTGACAGTGTGCCATCCAGCTTAACTATTCCCATGTAGTTCCACTGCATCAAATAAATGTTAATCTACTTAATATTTCAGGTGGTCAAATCTGGACCACAGATAATCCATAGATATTATTTATGTATCTATTTGATAGTCTTTCATTAGATGTCTTTCAAATATCCAGAATGCCAAAACAATTCTAAAAAATTCTAAGAGAAATTTCTTGTACTTAAAAAATAAATATAAAACCAGCAGAAAAACAATGAAAACCCAGCATTTTATATAACAAACATAAAAACTTACATAATACAATATGAACTATATTACTTGATATGGGACCTAAAATATTAATATCATCTCAGCACTAAACAAATTTAGGAAGAGAAGAAAAATGTCTTTGTAACCCTCACTTATAAATGGAATCTAAGCTGTGTTTGATAGCATTTGTCATGAGTTTTTCTTGACAAAGTTTGTACTCTAGCTATCACCCCATGTGCTTCATAGTCCTCAGCTCACATATATACCATGGTGCTGCTCAGGCTCTATGACCAGGAAGAGGAGCAATTGTGTCCTAGGATAACTCAGTATTCCACCCAACAACAAGGGCATTGACAGGAGCACCAATCATACCAGCAAGAAATTTTCCAATCCTCTGGAATCCATTGGTGCCCAGGGATGAACACTCATAATAGATTTTCCACCTGACTGAAGGGGAAACTTATGACAGTATAAATTTCACTAAGAAATGTTCTGACCATGACACAGGGATAACTGTTGGTTCAGATTAGCTTTCTCCTGATTGTCTGCAGGGATTGACTAAAGAGACACGATAAGGTTTGTATATAATGGGATTTCCAACCTGCAAGGCCAAAGGCCCAATATATGTCAGAGGGATATGTTTAGAGAAAGCTGAACTACAGAATTTTAAGAGAACCACCTGAAGAAGAGGTGAAATGTAACACAATGGCATGCTACAAGTTTGTCATATACATCTACCTGCTTCTTATGATTTCTAGAGCTGCAAACATTAGGAAAGAAAGGAAAATGGGTAATGGACTTTAAAATGAACCAAAAGAAATGCTGAAAATGATGAACTGACTTTTGGTTTCTATTCTTGCCATTCATTCTTCTGGTGAAATAGAAACTGAAATAGTTCCCATAAACAATTCACTTTTACAATTATTTGAAAAAAGTGCAACTATGCAATTTTTGCTTCCATAATCAATTTCTGTGAGAGATTTGGAAATATGCCAAGATTTCTTCTTGGAAAAACCACTTGAATATTTTCTTGCCCAAATTTATCATCATGGTATGTGGTTGTTCTAGTTGTGTGCCCTGTCTCCTACTTGCTTTTGCATCTACAATAGTATCCATGATTCAGTTAGTATAGATAGAGTAACATCTTATCCCACGCCTTCTTGCAAGTCAACCTCTTATGGTACTTCTTAAATCATGATCTCCAATCTTAGTAGAATATATACTGGAGTCCCTTTTTGTATGTGAGATCTCACTATGACAGAATCAGTTCCTTGTTGGTTGGTTTGCTTTTTTGTTAGATTTATATCCAAACTTTCCACAAGAAACTCAAAGGGTCATGCGTATCAGTCTCCTTCAATTTTCTTCCCATAATAACAATTCTGTGAAGCAAGTTGACTTAAGAGAGTGGGCCCAAAGTTGTTCACTGCATTTACATGGTTGAGGAAGAACTTGATCCAATCCTAGTTCTTAATTTTAATCACTACCTATACTACAATGACACTGTAATTGCTACTCGATGTTCATAAGAATAGGGTGTACAATATTCATTGTGGTTAAAACTTGTGCACAAACAATGTGTAGTGCTAGATAAATGCTATGCTGGCATTGAATTCTGGGGGTTCTAGTTCAAAAATTCTGATAGATATAAAGTGGGGAAAGCTGGATTTAGGTAGTAGTTAGTTTGGAAATTTTTGTTTTAAAATGTGAGCAGCTAGATGGCAGCAATGCTGCATTTCCTGGTAGTTATACAACTTCATTGCCTTCAGGTTATTTCATTATTACTTCTCTCTACATCAACCAGTTTTCTATTGAGAGAAAGCAAGAGACAAATAAGCAAGCATGAGAAACAGACCAGCAATTAAGAAAAACACGATGAGCAAATGAGTGTGACTGAGATCAATACAGCAAAAGTGAGAGATGCAAGTAAGTGGGAAGAAGATTAGAAGACAGACAGACAGACAGACAGACAGACAGACATAGAATGAAATAGATATGTAAGCAAAATAACAAAGATAAACTAGTGAGAGCGAAAAAGCAAGTGACAGAGATAGTCTGCAGGTTATCCATGGGATTAGTGGTTGCTTCTTGGTAAAGTAGAAGAGATTTGTTGGGAGGAATTTGTTACATAGGTTGGAGTAATGAAGATCACACCTTTTGTTTGGAGTAAAATCTTACTTTATTAAATGCACAGTGTTGGAGGCAAGCAACAACTCAACCTACCTAGTTGAAAATGAAACCTTCACGTGCATACAGAGTCAAGTTGCAAGTTCATGATATATGAAGGAAAAGTTGAGTGTTCTACAAAGGCTGATATAATTCATTTTACTTGCTTATCACTAATTCTTGCTTCTGTCCATTACTGTAGCTGGACCTGAGGGTTAGGGAAGGACAGCCTTGCTCAGGCTAATTATAATCAGGGCTTTTTTTCTCATAGAACGCCCAGAACGGAGTTCCGGCACCTTTTTTGGATGGAACCTTGTAGGATAGGCAAGGCAGATTGTATGACATGTGTGAGTTCCGGCACCTTTTTTTTTTTTTTTTTAGAAAAAAAGCACTGATTATAATCATTCCTCCTTCCTGTTTTTTACTATGCTTTACAGATAAGCCTCCACTTACCACAACCATAGGTCTAGCCATCTATAAAAACCCTCCTCTTACCCTAGCCATCCCACAATAGGGAAAACAATTGGTGAATCTTGCCATCCTGGCAGAAAATCTACCACTCATTGTACCTTATCTTATCCTGCAGTCAGGATGTCACTCACGATCCTTATTACCAAGGGTACAATAGGGATTGACTATTAGGACAGAGCAAATTATGCTGGCATTGATTTGTGCAGTTCAGAGACTAGAAGAAAATATATTAAACTGGTCAACTTGATATGCAGCTTTTAGCTCTAGTAGGTTACAAGGTATTTAAACATATAAAATTATTAATTGTGACACCTGATTTATCTAGAGTTCGGTAATAGATAATGGAGCTATTACCTAGTTAATTTGTTGGACTGCTTTCTGGAGATACCTGTTTTTAAATTAAGGATATTAATGTAGAGAACCTCTTAGAGTAGGAAAATTATCTAAAGTGCATTCCAGAAACTTGGTTGTGAAACCAACAAGAATCATTTTGATTAAATGCATATTAAATGCATATTCTTATGTGGTAAATCCTTATATTCTGATCCAGATCTGGAGTGAATTTAGAACACCTGATAAATCCATCCTGTGCCTGGAAGCCTGAAAGTGCCAACTGTAAAATTTTGTTTCTTCAATATACCGGTACATTCAAAGATTAAATACTTCTATATGGTGTGTTGCAGTTACAGTACTTATTTAGGTTCTGTGGAATAAGAATGCAATTAACTAAAATCTTCGTGTTCCATAAAATTGGAATGGAACTTTGGGGAGCATAATTATATTGTTCTGTGACAGAGCTGTTAAACACTGTAGTTTTATAGCATAATCTCTCCCAATACTATTTATTTCCAAATAAACAGAACACTTTTATTTAAAAGTTAGTTGCATTGAACTAAGATTTAGTTCTAAGTAAATATATATGAGAATAGATTGTTTGAATTGATTTGGCATGAACCTTTATTACAAAAAGATAATACTCTTTAAATCAACTCACATATTAGTTGAATGGCCTTTTTTGTCAAATGTGAAGTAAAAGCTAAATGATTAATTTAAAAATACTATGAAAGAATGAACTGCTCTATTAAACTATTGAGAAAGAAACAGTTTCAGAATATAAGCAGACAAAGCCTGACTATGAGAAATCAAGTGACTTGCATATTTCCTATGCAAAATTATGAAAACATTCATACAATGGGGATTTTGAAAGTAAATTTGCTTTTCTTTCTCAGCAGCAATGTATCTTACCATTGAGCTGCTATCTATGTAGAGAGAGAAAAACCTAATAGTATGTTTAAACTAAAAGAATTACTCCCGTTCAATATTATTATTGCTTTGATTTGCATTGCTTTCTAAACAATTAACCAGTGGAACAGCTTACCCCCAGAAATCGTGGGCACTCCATCATTGGAGATTTCTAAGAAGAGACTGGACAATCACTTGTCTGAGATGGTATAGATCCTCCTGCTTGAGCAGGGGGCTGGACTAGAAGACCTCCAAGGTCCCTTCCAGCTCCTATTCTATTCTATTCTGTTCTATTCTATTCTATTCTATTCTAAAAAAAGAATAGACTGGTCATTACTAGCATTTGAAAGTAGAGTAGAACAGAGAGTAAAAATATTTGTACTGTACAACTTCCTTTCTTTTGGGTCTGCTTTACATCAACCTTTCCCCAATCTGTATAGTTTCTTGAATTCCCCAGTCTGCAAGACCACTGCAAAGAATTTTGGATGCTTATGTCTACAGATTTGTAAGGTGCCCAAACTGGCAACCAATGCTCCACTTTTTTTTTCCTGTCTTGAGAATATATTTAAATAAGCACCTCCAAAAATTGCATCTTGCATTCCCCACTCCACTTTCATTACCAGCTTGCAAATGAGCCTGAGGAGCAGCTTAATGAGTGCGTGTGTGAGTGAGGCGGAAGAAGCGGGATGTATAGATAGTAGGGGAATGCTAGGGCAATTCTCAAGAAAGGAAAATCTGTGTGACCCTAGAGGCTAAAACTTTTATAATTAAGGAAGAGGGGGGGGATGCTGCAATTCTTAAAATCTTCAATATTTCACTCACATCTAAAGCTTGGAGAACGAGCTAATGAGTGGCTTTTTGGGCAGCATGAGCATTTCAAGTTCTGAAGGCTTTCTCCTGGTTTTTATGCAAGAAATCATACTTTCTTAATATTAACTATGAGTGTTTTGTTGTGGGGAATTTTCCTGAAACCAATGTGTTCACTGCCTTGACATTCATGTGACATTCATATGACATTCATGTGACATTCATTGACATATCATGTGACATTCATGAATAATTAGGATTATGGCTGCACTGTTTTAAAAACACTGGGTATACGTTCTCTCTCAGAGTGCCCCATTATGAGTATGGGTCATTGGAGGGCAGGAATTGACAGTGTTTCTATGGGTCAACGTGCCTACTATATTAATACATGAATTTAACATGTCTTATTTTTGCTATTTGTATAGGAACTAGAGGAAAGTATACCTGTTTCCCTGCCCTCAAGTTTTATATGGATGATTATGCGAGCTCTGGGAAATATGGATCAACTGCAGAGAAGGAATATTTCATCACACAATTATCTATACATTTTGATATGGGCAAATATGGAATTGTGTGTCACAATATGAATGATAAGAAGATGGTAACTTCTGTCTAGTTACTAAGCATCTTCAGCACATAACAGATTGTATAACTCCTGTATCAGGAGCACACAGCTTAAAGAATTGTTTCAGCAGATCAATCTCTTTTTGCAAATCCACCTATTGTGAACAGAACACACAGCAGATGCCCATGTCCCATTGGAAAGCATGATCCCACAGTTCTTGTTGACATCCTTGCTTGGCTCTCCTTGATCCCAAAAACTAAAAAGAAAATAACAGAATATTTAATATTAACATATAATCGTCTATATTTTTATGAATTTGCTATATTATTCCCGCATTCTACATTGAGATTATGACCTAGTATTTTTTCATCTTCATCTTAAAATAATTATTAGCATGGTATTAATGACATATGGAATACAATATAAGTGGAATGTTCTATACGGATGAGTTTGCTAATTATGTAGCTCATATGGCCAGAGTCCCTACAGTTCTGGGGAGGAGATGGGATATTCAGCAACTTAAAAGTATTACCCACTGTTCTCTCAGGAATCAAGATGACAGAAAGGACGCAAGGACAGGTACCTGGCATTTACAAATTTTGACCTGGCTTCCAAAATCAAGCAAAAATGGTCAACACATGGGAAATTTGCTGAACGATGTGTACACAAACTTACTGTACCTCATCTAACTGAAAGATAGGGTTTGTTTTATTGGGGAAAGTGGATTTTATCAAGTATGGGAAATAATGTGGGCATCCTAGACCAAGTCAAATCCAAAAACACTAGAGAAATATTGGAAGCTTGGCATACAGACAAATCAGCCATCAATAAACAGATAAAAATAAAGACACAATATAAAGCTAAAAAGGAAACAAAAGGGGGCAAGAGAGAGAGAGAGAGAGAGAGAGAGAGAGAGAGAGAGAGAACAAATCTCATTAACATTGAATGATGTTACCTAGTTGGTTAATGAAATCTCTGCAAGCAAATTACCAAAGAGCACCAATGACTTAGCAGCGTTCTGCAGTCATTTTGCACTTCTTTTCTACTCTAGGATTTTTCAAACAGACTAAAGATGATATTAGTTTGAACCAGAAGGTTCAAATTCATTCAAAGGAAACAGATATTCTGGTATTCCCTGGCCACATTTCAGTCAGTCTCAATCTTTCACCCTGATTTGTTATTTTGTCTTCACTGTTTCATGGTGGAACACATCTTTTGTGGGTCAAGAAGACTTTACCAAGTAGCTATGTCATCTTCTTGTTGTTGCTACCTGTAGGCATTTTGCCATCTTTGCTATTGTTTTGAATATTTCTAAAGGCACACTTATAATTCTGGGCACTTTTCACCAACCAGAATTCATTCTGAGCTTTAGCTTTCACACACCATCTCTGCAGTTCCACATCACTCATAGTCTCCCTTCTATCTCCTTTATATATCCTTTTTTAAAAATTTGTGTAGCCCCAAGTTTCCTGCTGTCCTGCATTTTTTCCTCATACGGATTGTGTGCAATTATATTTTTAGATTCTCTTTTTTTAGAAGCTCCCACATATTTTGAGCTCCTTGGTTTTTTGAAACATGGGCTTAAAAAAGAAAAAAAAGAAAAACATCCAAAATATACTCACCTTGTTCCGACTAGCATATCGCTATCTTTCCACTTCCACTGTCCTTCTAAATCACTCATACCCAACCAATAATTGTCAACTCTATTGGGGTTATTTTTCAGAAAACCCTGAAACAAAAAAGTATAGGCCAATCAGCTTGACATAAATACTTGGGAAAATCCTGGGGAAGATCATCAAGAATAGGATCTGTGAGCACCTAAAAATGAACAAGAAGATTACTAGAAGCCAGCATAGATTTGTCAAAAACAGATCATGTCAGATAAACCTTATATCCTTCTTTGATAAAGTGACTAAACTTGTGGATATAGTAAACATGGACTTCAGTAAGGCATTTGACATAGTAACCACAGCTTGTTTCTTGACAAGATAGAAAAATATGGATAGACAGCACCACCACCAGATGGGTTCACAATTGGCTGACCAACCACACACAGCATGTAGACCTTAATGGAACTGCATCAACATGGAGGGAAGTCAGCAGTGGGGTACTTCAAGGTTTTGTCTTGGGCTCAGTACTTTTCAATATCTTCATAAATTATCTAGACAAGGGGATAGAAAGGAACTCATCAGATTTGCAGATGGCACCAAGCTGGGGGAAATTACTAACACTTCGGAAGACAGACTCAAGACTCAGAAAGATCTTGACAGACTTGAGCATTGGAGCCTATCCAGCAAGATGCAGTTCAATGGTGAGAAAAGTAAGATCTGCACTTAGGCAGTAAAAATAGCTGCCCAAAGGCCAGTGCAATCCTGGACTGCATTACTAGAGGGATGACATCAAGATCACAAGAAGTGATTATATGCAGCGGCTATAAATAGGGAAGAAAAAAATGCCAAATTAAGACGATTTTTAAAGGGGTGTTTTAAA